ATCATATCCTTGAAGTTGAGTTGTCTGCTGAAGCGTGTGTTCTCTCAAAGCCAGCAGTCATGAACCCCCAGTTTTGGTCAGCGCATTGACTCCTTGCGCTCAGATCTCGGCTCCCAATGTTTGCAATCCACTTCTATGGAGGATCTTCTTGGCAAGGACCGTGGCACGCAAAATTGTCCAATGAGCCAGAGCTGACAAAAACCGAAACCCGCCAAACCAAACTGAAATCAACTAATCAACCACACCTGAACCTCCACATGCCGTGCCCAAGTTCATCCACCAACCCCAAATTCAACGACAACTACACCATCCATGTCCCCAACCTACACAAACCGGCCTCAAGCGTCGTGCAAATCCACGAAACCCACCCATCCAAACGGTCCCAAAAACTCCCCCCCACCGGACCTGGTGCAGCACGTCCGAGGCGGAGATGTACTGCTTCAGCTCCAGGCCCGAGAGCTCCTCACTTGCTTCGCCGACCGACCGTCCGGGGTGACTTCAGGAAGGCGGCCAGACCAGTCTGATGACGAATATCGCAAAAAACAAAACGAGAAAAGGAAAAAAAGGAAAAAAAAGGAAAAATGGAAAAAGGGTGCGAACGGTTGTGGATGCAAAAGCCCGGGCAAACCGGTAACCACCTGAACGGCCCGGCCTCTCCTGGTTTCCTCGTTGATCCGAAAGAGTTGTGACATGAGCGGTCCCCATCCCCCCGCTCCGGCAGAGCAAGGTGCTTGCCAGCTTTGTCCAGTCGCTTTGGTTGATGCTCCGAAAGCCAGGACTTCCGCGTGCGAGGCCACAAACAAACACGCGAAATGTGTCCAAAGGCTCATTTTTTACACAACTTTCTGGGCCGACCCCGCGGCCGAACCTGGGAAACATGCACGTGATACACACGGATGGAAACAGGCAAGCGCTCCACATTGGCACAAGAGCTGTTTCTTACAGTCAACACCACGAAAGTCGAATCAGGTTCACCGTTTGCGGTCTCAACGCCACGAAAGGACACACGAGACTGTGCCAGCGTCTGCCCGTGCGTTGCGACCGAGTATTTGTCCCGCATACCATGGGCCGCTTTCCACTTCCATCCATGCGCAAAGCCGCCTCAAAAAGCGCAAGCTTCACACCCAGCCTGTGACAAGTTCAGCTGCAGGGAACCGTTCTCTCCGATCTTCCGGTTGGGCAGCGCCTCAGCGCTCGTGCCTTCCGCTTCGAACGCTCGATGCGGAAAAACCTGGCAAAGATCAGGTGAAATTCGCATGTCACTTGCGATCAAGGGAGGCAACTATCTGGGGGGTCTTGCCCAGGGACGATTCGACGATGCAGGTAGGTGCAATATGCTGCCCTAGTGACCAGTGTCCCGAAAGCAACGCCAGATATTGTTTAGTGCACAGACATCCCGAACATGCTGACACGCCGCGCGCGCCGAGTGTCCCTGACTGAGACCGACGTCTCAGAAATCCGAACATGCAGCCTCGCGCCAATTAGAATTCCCAAAGCGGAACAAATCAGCTCTCAAGGCTACCAGCGGCTCCAACAAGAGCACACACGGGCCACATCCAATGCCTAAGCACAATGCAGCCGTCACGTTTCTCTTATTTAGGTGCCATGAGCTCTTGCAAAGCATTAACATTTGGCATTTTTGCAATTCATCGGTTTTCGAGCAGCAGCCCTTGCCAGAATACCCCCCATACCGATACTACCGGAATAACCCCTAATTACTCGGTTTCTCCAAATGGGAGGCACCATTGGCACATGCCAAAAAGTCAAACCTCCGTTGCGCCGCTCACCAGAGCTCTCGGACGCGTGACAGGCATCAACCCCAACCGAACCCTGGCCGCCTGGCCGTGATATCCTTAGGATCCCCGCGCCGGAGGATTCCCGTTGCATCCTCTCGTGCTGCCTGGCCAAGGCACTGGCTACGGGCATGGGCAGAGTATCGGAGCAGTGCCTCTTGTGGCTATGTTGTGCCTTCAGGACACTGCTGGATAGACCGGAACAAAGCTTGGCGGAATGGCTTGAATGTGGTTTCAGGCATGAAAAAACAATTGTCTCCCTCATAAGTGACTAGATTTAAACCAAGCGCTGGTCTGTCATAGCCTCCTAGCCAAGGGATGTCATGGGATGTCTTTTCGTGAAAGCTTCCTGAAGTTCGTCTATGCAACCCGTACCTGCTCCCAAGGGCCAAGCATCCCAGTGCGGATGTGTCACACTGCAAGGAAAAAGCCGCCAAACTCAACTTGGAATGCGGCGTACATCCATCCTGCCACACACACACACACACACTACTAGGAACATGTTTGCTGTCAGCTGCAAAGGTTTCAATCTATTCCATCATCATTCGTGTTTTTCTCAGAGCTATCATGCACATAAGGATAATCAAACAATGTGCAATGCCAACAAAAGCCGGCAGCAGTCTACTGCCCAGCAGGGCGGACAATGGGCATCTTGCTAAACCCGACTCAGGAAACACATCCAACGGTCAATGTGCAGCGCAGCATCTAAATCCAGTCAAATAGAAGCGCATTTCAATCACACGCTTGTCCTTGGAAAGCATTTCAACCCTCTCCATCTTACTTCACCTAAGCAAGGGCACCTGGCTGCACACTGCTTGTGGGGGCTGCAATGTAAGTCTGCTGACAGCCAGACCGGATTATCATTCGGCCAAGTCTAGGGAGCAGCACAATTAAATGGGTGAGGAAGCGTACTTCAGACTTCCAGAGCATTCTGAATGCGCGGGTGGCTATCAGATTCAATCAGGGGAGCAGACCCGCCCAAGCTTAGACAAACTTTGTCACACGGCCAAGCTCTTGTCAGCCGAGCTTGGTGAACCTACAAAGCTGGGGTTGAACGCTAGGGGAGTTCACAAATTACCCTGCAGAAACATAGACATGCTGAAGGAAATCCTGTACCGCTCCACCCAAATCAGACATCTTCGACGGCATCCAAGGTACATGAAGGATTCTGGGCATTGCTTCAGCCTTCAGCCCATGCAACACCAAAGATGCCTGGCACCTCCGTCCAAACATCGACGGCATTTTCGTCCGCGGGACCCGCGAGGGACCTGCGAGGGACCCGCGGGGCCCGCCTCCACCAAATCCTGGCCACGCCATGCACCAGGCGATTGATCTTCTGCCTGGCGCCGAAGTGGGCCGAGAGCGTCTTAAAGCACCCTGCCTTTAGGCGGAACTCGTCCTTTCAGGCGGAAAAAACGTCCAGGGCTTTTGCAACATGGCGTTAAGGAAAAGGCTCGCAATTCAGATGCGCTTGGTGGATACATCGCAAATGCAAGAAATGCGATGCCGGGGAGAAAGTGCCACTGCGAATCACGCACGGCCTAGGCCGACTTAGGCCCCCGAAAACATGTACATACTTGTGCACAAAGCCATAAGAAACCAATCTACAACAGAAGTCAGTGGCCTCCAGGCCAAAAGACAAACCGGGCGCTCTGTGAAAAGAGAGAGTGGCACTCATGGCATCCCTCTGTTACTGGTGAACTGCTGGTCTGTTGCCGACAGCCCCTGTCTATCGCTGGTATCAATTGCCGAAGATCCGGAAACCCGTCCCATCCCAAATTTTCCTACATGGGGACTTGTCCAAACAGGGGGACCCCTTTTGGGTTTCCTGTTCAACCAGTCTGAAAAGGGTCCCCTCAATACGCACGCCACAGGGAATTCCGTAACATGCCGCTGCCCACAGGTCATCCGGCAGCTGCAGCATGTGGAAGACCTGGCGGATGTAGCGACATTTGACGGCTTGAGTTCCAAAAGGTCTGTGAGCGCGAGTGAATGGCTGCATCCCAACTCAGACATAGCTGAGTGGGCAACACTCTGCAATTTCGCAATGTCCCGGCAAACCGAGCCCTCAAGGTTGTAGTTTCGAGAGATGTCAATCCCAACAATCCATGAGGGAAGGTGCCTGGATGAGCGCCGAGACGACGCCTGTGTTTTGCAGGACCTTGATGGCACAAATGGTGCGGATGTGGGTGAGTCCGCCAAAAACGAGCAATGCACTTGCCCCCAGGTGGGAAACATGGTGTCTCATACACGTCACATAATGTTATTGGCATTGATGAGTGCCCCTTCTTCGCGTATCAGTTAAGAACTAAAACATCACAATAACTTGCATGAAAGTGGACATGCAACCAGAACATTGGCCTAAGCTCGCATACCACCTACCAACTGGTTCAGAAGTTGTCCATTCACAGCTTGTTGCAGCGATCGCAACTACAAAATTCAAGCACCAATAGGTAATGGAAGATGGTGCGACAACAAAGTCAAATCATTGAGCTTGGCTGAGTCACAGAGGGTTCCTTGCAACATTGTTGGATGCAAAACTGATGACTCATTGACATACACTGGCTCGCTTTGATAGACAGTGACACGCAGTGGTGTTGCAGTAGGCTGCAGTGGCATCCTTGCAAGTTTCAGTCTGCATCACTGCCAGAGCTAGAACGAGAAACGGCCCTTTTCCATTGTCGCCAATCCTCGAATCGGGTGCCGCAAGCCACTAGTCCCCAGCTTTCCAACTGCGAAGCACTCCCCACGGAAGGCCCGGGCCACGGAATTCAGGAATTCCAGGCGTATGGTGTGCGACAGAGAGAAAGCCTGGCCCCGGTTCTGTGTGACCGGCTGGTCTTTTGGAATGGGTATTCGGAAGGCCCAATGCGCAAAGCAAAGGGAACACATACCCGTAGGTCAGTGCTTGACAAACGACCTATGTAAGGGCTTGGGTTGGCAAACTAGGCACAACGCACGGCTGCCACTTTCACAAGCTTGGTCAAGCAACCGCACTATGTGAGAATACATACCTATACAGAAACTCTGGCTTGATCAGAATTGTTTGGGAAGTTGACATGAACTGGTCCACCTTACTCGTAAACATGCAATCACCAATAGATGAAGGTCATTGCTGTCAGTCAACATAGCTGCTGACTATATAAGCTGTTCTAGCAATGTCAGTACAACTAAAAGTCAACAGTTTTTTGGCGCTGCACATTTGGAGACGGCGCTTCCATTTGCTTGCACTCGTATCCCGGACATTCATGTTTGCTTGCTTGCCTAATCAAAGTGGCGGGAAACGCCTGTTCGAAACGATGACATCGGAAGTCCTTTTAAGGACTCCTTTGGTGGGATTCGTCCATAATTTGGCAAGGATGTTTTGAATATTCCGGACAAGGAAACTGCCGCCTGCTGTCCACCTTGCAGCTGGAGCTGAACAACCTGGCCCTCCCAACGAAACAAGTGCAAACCACTCAGGAGAGAGAGTTTGGAATGGGCCATAAAGGAATCCATGGAGGAAGCCATGAAACACCCCTGCACCAAACATGCCTTGAGAATACGGATGGAACAGTCTAGTCCCCACTTGAAGCAACCCGTGGCCTGTGTGGAAGATTTCGGGACTTGAGGACCTGAATCTTGGAAAAAATGGGCATACCGTTGGTCTGACGTCATGAATTTCTTGCTTGCGAGCCCGAGCCCTGGCCACTTCAAATCCACGGATCCACGGATCCACGGATCCGGCAGCTTGCAACCGGCCTCACCAAGGAAGTTCCCCACTTGCTTGATGTCAACCTGCCAAACGCCGCTTGAACATCAATTGCGTCATGGTGTCTTGCTAATCCACATGATTCCCGGAACTGTAGATAATACGTCAATAGAACAGCTGGGCGGAGATCTTGCTGATGCCCGCTAATGCCACGGTCGGGCAACAAGCAGGCTCATCCAGAGACTTACTGTGGGAAGCAATCGAGGGTTACAACGGTGTCACGACGTGCATACTACCTTCCGGCCACAATGATTGCTTGCCGTTGGTTGCTTACATTATCCTCTCAACATGCTTCGTGGACAATATCTTGTACACCAATCTTTGAGTGGGTCAATCACCACGTACAGTATGCACACTTCATCAATTTGAAGGGGTTTGCGATCCGAAGAGGACAGCAGCCTTTCTAACCCGATGTTCATTCGCAACTGGCAGTTGCTGCCTCTCCCACCCTACCTTAAGCTCCGTGGATGTCTCAACAAGTAGAATTACGCATTGCCCTGGAGCGAGTTCTGGAAAGAAGCTACAAGTAATGAACCAAGCAAAGTGAGATGCAGGCGAATCGCTGCAAGCCTTTCTAAGAGATACTTCCCCTTGAAGGGATTAAGGCGTTTGAGGGCGGAGTTCTTAGCTATGGGCAACCCCCTACAAATGTTCCCTGAGATTGGCTCGGCAAGCCAGCCACGAGCCCGGCCTTGCTTCTGCGCAGGAAAGTGGACATATCCACCTGAGTCAGCTGCCTGCTTTGACCAAAAAACACATGGTGGCTCAAGAGAGGTTCGCTTGAATTGGCGCTCATCACCTTAGAGCCGAGTGCTGCAAAGGAAATGGAGAAGGTGGTACTGCTGCATAGTTATGCACTTGCGTTCCTGAAAAAACAGTGCCATCCTAGAGAGAGGGTCAGATCGCTTGCCAACATGGAGCCCAACTTGCTTGCCACTTGACACATCTCACAAAAAGCTAGCTGACAGGTGGCCCGAATTGCATGCTTGACGCGTGAAAACTAGAAACACGGTGATGCCTTGCGGAGTGCAGCAAGCTCTCGCGCACATATACGCAGACACTGAGGATTGTTAGGCGAAGCCAAGTCTGCGAAAGCGCGGGAATGCTCTCAGCTTTGGAAGGTCCGCCGGCCTGATTTCCCGCAAAGGGTTGCGCGGGAAGGCTCGAGAGATTTCACAGAGGAATGTCACCAAGAGATCGCCCAAGAGAATGAGCCGAGAGGTGTCATCGAGAGATCGCATAGAGAAATGTCAACAAGAGATCGCCTGAGACATTGCACAAAGCAATGTCAAGAAGGGATTGCTGGAAGTGATTGCGAGAGATTGCTCGTGAGAGGAGATCGCACCGAGAGATGTCAAGGAGCAATGTCACGGAGAGATTCGCACGTGAGATTGCACCCAAAGGCTTGCGGGAAGACTCGGCGCAACTAAATGAAAATAAGTCTGTAAGGTCTACAAAAGTCGGCGCATCAGACCTTCAAAAGCTGGGTGCGTGTTTACTGTGTTTCGCATTCCTGCACCAACCTTTGCGGGAATCGGGCGGGACCTTCAAAACCTGAGCACTGTGTGTACTTGTTTGACACATTCGCAGAGCCCTTTGGGATTGGGCAAATCGATCTTCGAACTGTGCATTTGCTGCTTTTGACGGCTCCTACTTGCGCAGAGAAACTTGCGCTGAAAGCCTGCGCACAGGGAATTGCCTTGAGAACTCGGACAACTTACGCAGAGAGCCTGCGCAAAGAAACACACTTGCGTAAAGAAACCTGCACAAAGAACCTTCGCAAGAAAACTTCCAGGGAGATTTTGCACACAGAGACTTTGCACAGAAACCATCCGGAGAGAAAACTTGCACTGGGAACTTGCAAAGAGATCTTGCGCAGACCCACTGGCATAGAAACACAAAGCAACTCGCACGCGCACACACACACACAGAGAGCTACACAGCCACACAGTCACA